TCGCAAGACAAAAATGTTGACGATTTTGAAAATAGGCGAGCTTTTGAACCAGGAGTCATAGAGGAGTTTTCTATATTGATGTTGAACAAAAATAACTTAAAACGAGAATCCTATCCACAGAGGTTTTAAGGCAAATGGTCTAAAAGTGGAGTTCACGAGATAGATGGATAAATCACTGTTAATTAAAATGGGTAAAAATAAAAATAAAAAACGGATAGAATTTTTTGCCGATTTTTGTAACAAATCTTTTTCATACAACTGCTCTTGGAAATGGGCCAAAAGTGAATTCTGCGAGACAAAAATGGCGACCATTTTGAAAATAGGCGAGCTTTTGAACCAGGAGTCATAGAGGAGTTTTTTACATTGATGTTGAACAAAAATAACTTAAAACAGGAATCCTATTGACTAAGGTTTTAAGGCCAATGGTCCAAAAGTGGATTTCCTGAGATAGATGGACAAATCAATGTTATTTAAAATGGCTGAAAGTGAAAAAAAAAACAATTACATTTTTTTGCCGATTTTTTTGTAACAAAATTATTTCATACAACTACTCTTTTCAGTGACATGGCTTTTTACAGTGCAGGACACCTGAAATTATTTGTAAAGCTAGGAAATGGGCCAAAAGTTAAAAATGGCGGCCATTTTGAAAATAGGCGAGCTTTTGGACCAGGAGTCATAGGGGGGTTTTCTATATTGATGTTAAACAAAAATAACTTAAAACGGGAATCCTATTGACATAGGTTTTAAAACTGGCCAATTGTTGACAGACAGGCAGACGGACGGAAAGACAGACGGACAAGTGAGTGATTGCAATAGCTCACCATCCACTAGTATTTGAGTTATCTTCCCGACGGATGTCTTGTTTATATGCTGTTCATGTCATCATCATTCAGTCCAGATTGAAAATCTATTTGTAGTTGCTGTTGTTTCCTTCTTATTCTGATTTTATTTGTCTTTTCCTTTCACTCTTTGTCTTCTTTGTTTCTTCTTTTTTCTGTTGTTGTTACTTTCTTGTCTTCTTTAGTTTCTTCTTTCTTGGTCTTCTGTCTCCCTATTACTTTCTTCTTTGGTCTTGTTTGGTGTCGGGTCTGCAGACTTGTGACTACACGTCGGTGGGTTAAAGCTTTTTCTACCGGTAACACTCCCCTTCCTCTTTGTCTTTATGGACGGACGTCATTTGTTGTTGCTGCATCAGTGTCTTCATTCGTTGTCTTCTTTCTTTCTCTTGATTTGATTGTTGTCTTGATTTGATTATTCAGGGTCCACAGACTTGAGACTGCACATAGGTGGGTTCAACGTTTTGATCCGGCCGGAAAACTCTCCCCTTCCCCTTACTGATGTTATTATTTGTCTTCTGTCAGTTCCTACCTCTTACTTGTGATTGGTCTTTTTTACTTCGTTTAGCCTCTTTGCGGAGAATATACTGTTTCATATTTATTTGTTAATGTTGTCTTCCCTCAATGATTTTCCAGTGCGGACGGACTGATGGACGGAGGGCTTCGCTATACCCCTACCAAACTTCGTTTGGATAACTAAAGTTTAACCCTATATTCCACTAAAACAATAATTCAACTTATTTGACTATCTTAATTGTAAAAATAGTAATATGCTGTAATATTTCAAAATGTTACATTTATAGATTTACCCATGAAAATATATCTTGGTCTTCTGGTCCTTGATTGTGATAATGGTTCTTGAATGGAGGGGAAGGGAAATGTTAAACATTATTTCTTTTCACATTAGATCCTGATTTTGGGATATAATACAGGGTGACCGGGAAAAAAGGAGACCATTGAAGTAATCAATTTCTCCTAAACTAGACAAGTGCCATCAATGAAATTTTGCATACACTGGAACAGTTATATGGAAATTTGTTACTGAAGGTTTCAATACAATCATTCAACTGGTTCAGGAGCTATGATCATTTACATAACATGCTCCAAATAGGCACAATTGAGACCAACGCAGAGTTGGATTCATATGGCAAACTACCCTTACATGTTCTGCCCTCTATGGCATTATTATGGCATTACATATAGCAGTGATTGCCTTCTTTAGGTCAACAATAGTCTGAGGATTGTTTTGGTATAGATTGTCTTTCAAATATCCATACAAAAAGAAATCAGCAGGATTCAAGTCTAGGCTGTAATGGCAATGAAGGGTTATCTGACATGTGGTTCATCATCCTGTTGCCAAAGTGCTGATTTACTCAATCTTAAGAGTCACTTTAGGTATTGGGCATAGTGCCATGTTACTAAAACCACTATATGGCACAATTAAATCCCATATGGAAACCAAGGGCTGCCCAAAACCTCCTTAGGATGATACTGTAACTGAGTGGGACCACTGAGTCAGAAGCCATAGGTCAGATAAGCTTCGTCTCCATACACCTCAAATTTGAATCCACCTGATTTCTTTTTGTGGGGCAATTTGAAAGACAATGTGTACCAAAACAATCCTGAGACAATTGCTGACCTAAAGGTGGCAATAAATGCTAAATGTAATGCCATAACAAGGTCGGAATATGTAAGGGTATTTGCCAAATGTATCCAGCTCTGCGTTGGTCTCAATTGCGCCTATTTGGAGCATGTTATGTAAATGATCATAGCTCCTGAACCAGTTGACTGCTTGTATTGACACTTTCAGGAACAAATTTCCATAGAACTGTCCTGATGTATGCAAAATTTCATTGATGTCACTAGTCTATTTTAGGAGATATTGCCTATTTCAATGGTCTCCTTTTTTTCCGGTCACCCTGTATATAGAGTCTACTTTTCTTATGACAGGCTTACACTTAGAGTTTGCTTGCTAGTTTTCTTTACAGCCCTTTTCCTTTTGGCATTTGTGTTTAGTTATTTATGCAGACATGGTATTTGCTTGGATTTGCATGACAAATTAATTCCTAGAAACCTTCTTTGCTATGGTTTTGCAAGGTTAAAGTATTATATTTGATCATCTGACATTCTGACCTACATAGGCAATTGTATGAATCTAAAAGTTTGCTGAATATAAAATTAGCCATGCAATATGTAGTATGGAATTTGATATATCATGCTTAGCTATGTGTGAATTTATACCTAAAGGCTCAATTAATTAATTTTATTCTTGATTTGCCAGGCATCATAGAGCCATTGGTTTTCTATAACCTATAATAAAAGGAGGGTATGTCATTGTAACTATACTGACATACCTCCAGGGTAGTTCTATGATGCAATATGGACCATACTTGGGAGGTCTAAGTCTCATAATAAACAATAGGACATGTTCAATAAACATGACAGAAATGATGTATACCATGCAAAAAAATATGTTTCATTTCCGGAAAGGATCTTTTGATACATATTCATTCTTTGAATTTTGTGTTAATCCTTTGATGGCTTTATTGATTGACACGTAAATGAGCAGAAAGTTATCTGCTTTTCTATTTCTAATAGTGCACTTTATTAGACTTTTGTAGAATAGAATAATACAAGAGAAATGTCAGAGTGACCCAAAATGTAATCTGCTTTACTCCCACTAGGGATCTGCGCCAGACTTCTTGGTGGAAAATATTGTTTACCTACCTTTATCAAGCAAAGTTTATTTTATACTGTAGTCTCTCACAAAACTTAATATTTTTTGCCTGAAATTTAGTATTAGGATAGACCGTCTTGAATGACTATCCAGATTTTAAAATATTAGAAGACAAAATATTTTTCATACTTGATTCATGACCAATTTTTTTCAGAATCACAAGAGTAATTCATATCTGAATGTATGGCAAGTGAATTTAGACAGTCATATCTTCCACCATGAGTACTTACTGGCCATAAATACAATGGCTTTTATTAAAACAATATGTTTTCTTTCAAGTGAAGTCCCCATGATAGTAAAACATCAATCCAACTCTCTGAAAAATTATGGATTAGGGCCCCACCTTGGCACTTTTTGGAAAATGTTAGGCTTATTTTCTAAAAAGATGATCTTGTTTTTCTCAATTTAAACATATCGAAAGTCTCCTCTACACTATATTAACAATTTCTGAAAAGGGGATGGGTATTGAAATGAGTTAGAAGTTAAAAACCACATATCCCATGTTATTTTCCCATTGGGAAAACTTGTGCTATCCATTGTTTTCAGCATAATTTTGGTCATCGAAAATTGATATCTTCAAAACTAGACTTTCAATACCATTCTATCTTATGTCTTAGACCCCTTGTTGAATAATGTTTTCATGCAATAAAAATCATAAAAAGAATATCTTCTTTTGAGTAAATAGGTTTTAGGTAAATAGTTTTTTTTAAAATTTATGCCCAGAAAGTACTCATGGTGAAAGATATGACAATTTAAAATCACCTGCCATACTGCACGTGGTCTTTTAGAACTTTCGAAAGCTGAAAACTGGGCCACAGAGAACCTGTTAAGGTCTAGAAAAGTACATTTTAAAGGTCAATGTCATCAAACTAGGTCACAAATGGTACTATCAAAGCTCAAGACGACAGACTTTTGATTGATCCCACCACCCACACTGAATCCCATTACTGAACTGTGAACAACATGGCAAATAAAATGGTTATAAATAGCTGTACAGGTCACTGTAGTTATTCAGAATTGAATTCTTTTGCACTATGAAAACAGCATTATTTGAACTTCTTACTTTCAATGAGCTAGAACTATACATATAAGGAGGCTCCTATGGGGGCCTTTTACTTATTTGGATTGGAATAATTTACTTATAACTGAATTTTGTCAGGATATAGTCCTCATAAGGTTCTGCATATATGACTAATAACTATCCATTAGTTTTGCACCAAATTTCTATTTTTCAAGGTAACATTTTAAACCTATTTACAAGGTGCACCTAACTAATTAACTACATAACTAATGTACTGATCAATTCACTCAATGTTATTTACATTTGAATAATGATAGACTAGAAATGTTTGAAGCAATTTAAGATGTGAATGTATCATTGGAGTTTCATTAAAATTCTTATTATGAGATTAATTTACTAATCATACCTCTTTCATAGCGACCTCTATCTGTAGCTTTAGGAGTGTCTTTTCGAAATATTCCCTTTGGTAGATGACGGCGTTTTTCATAAGAAATCAGATGCTGCACTTGATCTGATACATCCAAGTCACTCATGTCATTGACTGGAGGATCGTGTAGAGAGGGAAGAGATCGTGACAGAGGCTCCCCTCGCAGACTTGCATCTACAAAATATGTGTATATATCACATATGCGGATAAACATTAACTGTATATAAAAGTAAAGCTTAAATTATGAACAGTTTAAATGTTTGTATGTTGTATGAAGCATGCCATCTTTTCTGATTGTATTATTTCCTTTTGCATTAACTACTTGACTTGACAATATAGATGGCACCCATCCAATAGAAGTAAGTTGCTATGGTACAGGAGCAATGATTTTAGCTTTAGGCAATATGAGTTGTGTGAATATCACACTTAAGGGACATGTTCTTAGTTGATACATAATTTGCCCTTACAGTGTTGTGATTCTTACCTAGTTCTGGCTGCAATAATTGGTCATCAGGAATACTACGTCTTGGGTTACTGTTATTATAACTAACAGATTCCTCTAACTGAGATTCATCCTCTGATGTCAAATTTTTCCTTATAGTTTGTTCTTCAATACTATCATGACGTGAAAATCTTGCCTTGCGTTCCTTTTCAGGAGAAGCCTCTGTTGTAGTTATGTCTGCTTCACAAGAGGGTTTGCTCTTTGTGAGTTCATCTGGAATGTCATCTTTGTTTGAGCATTCAATTTCTTTAGCCATCCCAGTCTTTGTTTCATCATTGTCGTGGCATTTATCAATTTCATTAACATCATTATTTGAGGCACATTTGTGGATAACAATTGTAGCAATGTTATTTACATTTTCAGAAATATAGGTATCTCCATTATTATCTTCATTCATCCTGTTGTTGATGTCATCCATGTTACTATCTTGTTCAGGATCTGCAGTTATATCAGATGTCTTCTTCTTAATAATGTCCTCTTTCTCCTCTGTGGGTCCCTCAATGTTCTCTTCTCTTGTTTCACCTGAATTTTCATTCGCTGCTATGTCATGTTCGTCAATCTGTACACCTTGTTTTTGTGAATTAAGAGCTGAAATATTTGTGAATGACTTTCAGGTATTTCATACTATAGCAACAGGGTGACTGAGAAATCAAGGAATTTCATTTGATGAATATGACATTCATGTATTGTGTACCCTCACATAATATACTGTACATATTTTTTTCACATTTGAAGCTACTCAGTAAATGATGCAATTAATGCAGGAGACAGGGTGTTGCATATCTCCTAAGACTGATTTGGAATTATAATGATCCTAGAAACAGCATATTTATGAAACAATACAATGAAAGTGTTAGAAGTGAAAAGCTGATCCTGATATACTTTATCCAAAAATATAGCTCAGGCCATCCATAACAATAAACAAACAGACATGTTGGTATTTAGACTTTTCCAAAGCATTTGCTGACTATTTGCTGATGACAGCTTTTTATTCATGAGTCGAAAGCGAACAAGATGCATTAACACCACAGGAGAATTTTGATAAACTGGTCTCCTGGGCATCAACATGGCAAATGAAAGTCCATCCATCAAAATGCTATGTGCTGAATATTCACAAAGGTAAATCCCCTATCATCCACAATTACAGCATGCTAGGGGAAGACCTTAAGTCAACAACCCATACCTAGGTATTGACATCACAAATAAATTAAGCTGGACCACATATATTCAAACTATTGTATCCAAAGCCAATAAAGTGCTTGGATTCCTCAGGCGCAAAAAGTGAAGGTCCAGGCCTATAAGTCACTAGTCCGGCCTTATTAAGAGTATGCAAGTTTAGCGGGGGATCCTTACTGACAAAACTACATTGATATGTTTGAACAGGTACAGAGAAGAGCAGCTAGATTTGTAACCAAATGTCACTCAAGGGAACCAGGTTGCGTCAACAAAGCTCTTCAAGACCTACAGTGGGAGCGTAGAGACTGCTAGTCTTCCTTTTTTACAAAGGAAAGCAGAATCTAGCAGCCATCGCCTCCATACTTCCGCCAACAGATCAATACCAACACTAGGTTGTATCATTCTTCTAAGTTCATACAACCATCAACTAGAACGGATGAATACAAATTTAGCTATTTCCCAAGGACAATAGCTAAATGGAACACTCTACCAGGTGACATCTTAGACTGTGACAGTCTAAGTATCTTTAAATCATCATACTATGCCTATGTCAATAACAGCAATTAAATCAGTGTGTTTTTATTATAGATCTATTTTTACCCAGAGCACTCAACTCATTACACGTCCATGTTTTAATGTAACTGGTCCACAGTGCACAGCAACAAGCCTGCACTACTGGTAAAGAGGGGCAATGTCAACACGGTAGCCTGACAGTCATCCCAAGGTATCCCAACATAAAGGGAATTCCTAGGGGGTACATGGGCCAACCAGGAAGTTTCTTTACAATTTTAAATGAGTTATTAACCATATATCTATTTTTAAATGTTAATATTTTAAATCATATCCTATTCAAATTCTATCACTGTTAAATTATATATCTGATTTAATATGGGCTTATTAGCCTTTTGCAGATTATTGACATAGACATCTACCTTGCACATTAGAGTTTTCCTGAATGGCTGGTGTTGCACGTGTAGTAATATATTGTAGACGTGGGCTATTTAAAGGCACATTTTCTTCTACTTCTTTATCTATAAAAATACATTACTTTATTTCAAATTTCTGACATTTTTTATCACTAGATTGTCAGTTTGCACTGAATATTTAGACAATTCATTTTTCATTATTTAAATCGGTACACCTGATTGTACTGACTTGCAGTTTTGGATTTTTTATCAGTTCATCTAAAGATTAATTTGAAGATATTGTCAGAAATAATTGAAGAACTAAATATTTCCTCACCAATGTTCTCCTCATCTTCTTGAACAGATGGCAGCACTGTTTTGTCCTTTTCCCAAAGGCTCGATTCCAAATTTTCATTCACTGCAAATTTGTCTCCCTTTGAATTCTTATCTTTAACTTCCCATTCATCATCTTGTATGGTATGATCAGTCTCAGGAACAACAGTCCCAGCCTCACTGTTGATGTTTCCTTTAGCTTCTTGAGTATATTTAAATCTATCTTTTGATTCTGACACAGCTAGAACTGCACCTTAAAGATCAGCATTTGTTATTTCACGATCTGTATAAAGCAGGACAGAATCTACTTGGAATTCAAAGATTAAATAATCTTGTTTGTATTCTTTCAAAGATTGATGACTTTATTTTATGTAACCTTCATAAACATTTTCAAATTTTTAGAAAAATGTTTTTACAAATTGCTCTAAATATTCTTTTATTTTTCATTTTCTTATTTCAATCATGGGCTTCATAATTTTAATTTTTCACTTTTCAATGCAAACTCTCTAAATTTTTGTTCATTTTTTTCAATTCTATGTTTGATTATCAATTCTTCTCGTTTTATATACATGTATATTGCTATGTTTGTTCAGTTTTGTAAAGTTTATTTAACTCCGTATTTTATATTTCAAATAAACAATTACACATCTCATCTATGTTTGAATCAAATTTAGAACTAGCTGTGTTACAAACCAAACTGCAAAATCAATTTCGAAAAGTAAAAACTAAACATCACACACAAAATGTCAAACACTGAAAAAATCTTAGATTGCAAAATTCTATTAGATTTACTTGTATTTGCATATGCAAATTCATCAGATGATGATGATGAATGAAATGATGATGTGGAAGGAGGAATCACATCTTTAGTAGTTCACTGTAATACACCCATCCTTGGATTGGGCCAATCAGATAACATGAATTCTTGCACATGCATATGAAAAGACTGAACTGCAGAATATTGAACTGAACTGAATAATAGAAAAAAATGAAAAGTTATAAAGTTATTTTGTTATTTATGGCTTCATAAACATCTATTTTTTCTGTAATAATACTTTGCCAAACAAAGGACTCATCAAGCATACATGTACTTATCATAAGAATGGAATCAAAAGCGATCAATTTAATCCATGAAAAAAACAGGTGTAAAATTTGATAATTGAAATTGATAATATTCAACAATCAAATGGAGGCGTCCATCACAGTGCATGGTTATTGTACTTACTTGCTGCTTGTTTCAGTTGAAGTTTGTTTTTGGTGAAAGATTTTGGTCCTGGTGTGTCTTTACGCTTGGGCTTCTTTGTCGACTCCTGAAATATTCAATTTTAGGACTATCAAAGTACATTATTCTCATAGAGATAATTAGTCGAGTCGGACTATATTTGAAATAAATAAATATAGGTGGCGCATAAACTGATAGCTTGAGATTTTTTGAATCGGTTTGAATGAAAATGACTGGGAATAACTAGTATAAAAAAAACTCAAGGTTAGCAATTATTTAAAGTGAGGTAATGTGTCAAAAATAGATAAGCAAATCCACTTATACATGTACTGTACACGGAAAGTACCCTTATTGGCAGATAAAAATGTCAGAAGTAGTGAGGAACATGTAGTATGTAAACTAAGCAAGCTTTTTAAGTGCAATTATGTATACCTATCCCATAAAAGAACAGGAAACTACCTTTATTATACTGTACAGTCATTAATAAATTGAGTCAAGAAGAAGACAAAGGATTTGCGTTCATTCCAATTAGTATCAGGATACTAGAACAAAAAAATAATTTGAAGAGATCCCACACAATGTACAACAATTATACATCACAATGAAACGAGGAACCATTAGAAATAATAATGGACATGTAGAACATTTAAAGTTATATATTCCAATTATATTTTAGATTTTGTACATTTTGACATTGTGTGTCACTCCCAATCAGATATAGGTTGCATTAGCTTTACTGTTCAATTGATAATAATATATACACACACAAGAAAATAGATGAAAATATTGATATTGTCACAGTAAAACAATAAGACTCCTTAGAGTTGCAAATCCCACCAAACAAAACACATCTTATCAAATCGTTCATAATTTTTACCATTTTATGATAGAAATAACTGGTTAGTAGTATAGTCTTATTTTGGCACAATCTATTATAAATGCAACGGATAACACTGTAATTTTCATGCAGAAGTTACTGAATAAAGTGAGGCTGATCATCAATAGTGCAATCCAAAGGTAATACGTACATGTATAATTCTTTTCCTGCATTTATGACATACTAATTTATGTCCTTAATATATAGTGAGAAGGCATTAATGAAAGTGTAGCATATGAGGTACTGTACTCCTGGTAATATTCACCTTCTTTTCTCGTTTTTCACCATTTTTTTCAAATTTGTGAAATTTAATAGACGCGAAATTCCAATAGTTCAAATATAATATATTGTGAAATTCCCTGGAATTCATTTCACTCAGTGTTGATATTTTTTGTCCACTGAAGGGCTATAAAAAGTAAGTATCTTTTCAATCCATCCAGTTTGGTAACAACATGGCTTCAGGGTAAAAGTAAATTTTCAAAATGCAGATCCGCAAAAATTAATAGCCACAGAATTTAAAAAAGCAGAAAATTAGCAAAAAAATTGTGAAATTTCAAAATCACAAAATATCATAGCGTCACATTTTAGTTGGAGTACAGTATACAATAATACAGTATGTATAGAGGTGCATCTAATGAACAAATGAACCTAGATTATATGTCATCTCCAGTTTATACAGCTTCTACAGCTGTTAATTAGATTTGCATAATCACATTAACATACTCTAGATATCTCAAGAAAGTCATAAGACTTTAACAGTAAAATTCACTTGATCACAGAATATAACACACTGATTGTGAACAAATGATATTTCAAATTTCGGTTTATAATCAGAGACATTAAACATTAAATGTACAAAATGGGGACTCCATCCACAAGATGCAACCTATATCCAAACATTCTAAAAATAGAAAAGACAAAGTGTGAACAGAATCACACCCTTGAATAGAATACAGTTTTTGGGACGGAAAATCCGAATAGGTATAAAGATCCCTGAAAATTCCAGATAAGACCATGAAACAGTTTGGCTGGAAACCTGTAGACAAGCCTTGACGGACAAGAGTTTAGGATGGAAAATCCAAAATGGTCACCTTAATATTTATTAAGAATTTTGAAAAACAAATCAGTTCTTAACGTTCATAGGTAGAATCCCTGAAAATTCAAATGAATCCCGGCCCTATAACTGTTTGGCTGGAAACCTGTAGACAAGCCTTGACAGACAGTGTAGCTCCTGTTCTTAGTTAGTTGTAAAACATGATGCCTTAGACACCTCCTCAAAAGACATTAGTATTAAAAAAATATGAAATACGTGAATGGAAAGTAGCTATATCTTGGAAAATACTAATTCAATTATGTTCATTTTTTCAGTAAAGAAAGAATAGGCTGTGTATGTATAGCTCATGTAGATGGTCAGTTGTAGAACTGACAAGTTTTTGGGCATTCTGGTTAAATGTTAAAGTAGTCATTTCGGATTTTTTGTCCTAAAATCCTGTCTGCCAAATTATAGCGATTCCTTTGGGTTGCAATTTTTTGAGCACCCTGTATTTTTGATGATATAAGTATTGGCTATCAATTTCTAGTTTTTTCTTCAACATGTATTGTAATGAGTTCAGTACTAATGAAATGTCCCTTGGTGTTCTGGTCGTGGATTATGATATTGGTTCTTGAATGGTGGGGAAAGGGGGTATTATGATATTGGTTCTTTTAATATTAGACCTTGGTTTCAGGATATAGGGGTTTGTTTTTTGTATGACTGGTATACACATAGGTTTGGTTTATCTTGCTGGGTTGCATCACAACTTTTTGTCCTTTCCCTTTGGCACCTTTGCTTAGATATTTTCAATTAAATATAAGCAATCAGAAGAGTACTAAATCTTGCTAAATCTGTGGTACTTAATAACAAAACTCATAATAAATCAGGATTTATGAGCATACGATATTTAAAATTACTTTTATTGTTTGGTGAAAAGCTTTAAACAATCATTATAATGTATATCGAAGGTTGCAATTTAATTTTTGTTACAAAGAGCTAAATACTAGAATTTCAACTGTTAGCAAAATGTGACTTTGGTCTCATTAAAATGATGATGTGTATAAAAACCACAAACTTTTTGTTTATATTCCAAGAGTAAATATCAATAGCTGCGTATTCATAAGGCTATAAAGTTCTCAAATACACTATGTGGTAGTACTTTACAGAATTTTAGGTATTATTTCAGAAAATGAGACCTTTTATGCAAGATTACACCAAAAAACGGCTATTTCTAAAGCTTTTCAGGGGACATATGTCACTACACTTATTGTAGTAATAGCCTTATTTGATAGTACTACGTAGCTTATGGGCTGATATAATCAAAATGTGAATTTTTATGTCGAAATCACCAATTTCTGGAAAACCAGATACAACCTGATATGAATAACACTTATTCTGTACCATCAAATTTTGAGACAAGTGAAGAGATCGACCAGCTAATTGATAGATGGATGGATGGATGGAATGAGGGAGGGATGGATTGATTAATGCATAGACGCCTAATTGATCCCCTAGGTTCACTGTGTGAGCCAATAAAACCACATGACCATGAGTTGGAATGACATTAAATGTACTAGGATGTTCATCATGTCTGAAACATCTGCTATTATATCTGTTCTCATTAGTATCACTTATCCTTTGTGAGCTTCATTAAAAAGAAATAAATTAGATTCAATGAAAGGGTTCAAGAGTCTACTGCAAATATAAATGATGGCTTCTTTTCTAAAGACGCAGGAAATGTGTATCAATAAATCATCCCCAACATGTCAATGTAAGATTAATTGCCGAAGTGAAAGCCAAATTCTTATTCTTCACATTTTCTTACTCAGACTTGAGTCATGTAATCTTAAAGGTATTGCAGATCAAAGTTCAGAATCACTCATGATGGGATATGTAGGCCATCATTCCAGCTGATAGAGCACCATTTATTTAACATTTTCAAAATTGTTTAAAATTAGCCAGATTTTACACCTTCATGTCATGAAGTGTACACTTTTTGACACAGAATTCATAGATTAAAAGTGTTGTTGAACCAAGAATTGCCAAAAGAACAAGAAACAGTAAAACATTTAAATTATTTATTATACCTTTCACTGATTCTAAATTAAGCTGGTTCGAACCAAATTGTTCAGCAACATTTATAAAAAAATACTTCCATATAAATAATAAACATGTAAATAATATTTAACTTCATTAGCCATATGACATTGAATATGAAAATGTATGATGAATAGTGGACCAGTGATTTGTCTACATATAATAAAACATAAAAATAAGACTTCCACATAAGAATGGTCATGTTTCTATTCTAGAACTATGGATTAGATCTGAATCTGAGGATGGATTTGGAATTGACATTTCTATTTATCTAACATAGCTTTGTATAATTTTACTGAAATACGTCATTTTTTAAGTGACATTGGATTCATTGGACTGATTGCCTCTTAGAATTAGTCCTATTTTGGTTTGGAGCTTTAGATATTGGTTTTGATGTTTATTCTGAATATTATGATGGTATTAAAGAGATGCTAATGAGACTTCTCCCTGGCATTTTTTCTTTATTCCTTTTTGTTTTGAATTTTAAAATATTAAGTTTGACAATTCCATTTTTATAATGGAGCTCAATGGGAAAAATGACATAATTTGAATTATTTTCAAACGTAGCGGCGCGATTTTCTTGAAATTGACAGATATAATAAATATTGGTAAGACAAAATGCTTGAAGATAAATGAAGAAAATTCACCGTCCTGGTTGCACAAAAGATAGAAAAATGTGAAATAATCATAAAAACCTGTAAAAATAGATTGAAGGGGGTGATATTGACAATGGAAAACCCAACAATGACATTGACACAGTTGCTGCCAGATACACAAACACAGGCTTTGGCAGATGTTGAACCAGAGCATATTTGTACACATGGAAATTGTCTCAATGACTCTACAGTATCATCAGATTCTGACACAAATAAGAATACAATTTCACTTAATGATGGACTTATAGCATCAGGACAGGATAGCCCTCGGCGTGTAGATAATGTTGTCATGATGATTCCTGACTCTCAGCCTCCTGATTCTCCAGGAACATCCCCTCAACCTGCGCGCCGTTCAACACGTATTACTGCTAAACGACATCCCAAGACACCCAGGACCCCACACACCATGCAAAGGAAGAGAGGAC